AAAAAAAAAAAAAAAACAGACTTCAGTATTGGTACATGCTACAACATGGACAAACCTGAAAACATTGTGTTAAGTGAAAGACACCAGCCACAAAGGCCACATATTTTATTTCGATTTATATGAAATGTTCAGAATAGGCAAATGTATCAGACACAATGTAGATCCCAGGTTGCCAGGAGCTGGGTGGAGAGAAGAATGGGGAGTGACTGCTTATGGGATGATATAAATAAAAGACTGCAATGGTGGTTACACAACTCCTTGAATACACTAAAACCACTGTCTTGTACAACTTAAGTAGATGAATTTTATCTCAAAGATGTTAAAAACACTACAAACATTACAAAAGCACGGGCCTCAGAAGCCTAATTCTAACAATGTGTATGTAACTCACAAAGGATAGGGTCCTTAAGGGTCAACTATTTCCGCTCCCAAAAAAGGCAGGAGGAACCGAAGTGGAAGATTTCTGGGTTTCCGTAACTTTTCTGAGACACTCAAAAATGTCTTCCAATAATCCTCACTCGTCCCTTTGAAGCCGGCTGTGCAGATATGGTCATCCAAAAGCAGAGATGGGAAAATAATAAAGAACAGAAAGCAGGAGATGTCCCCAGTCACAGAGTTAATGGAGAAGCTAAGGCCATGAGTCCAAGTCTTCCATCAGAGTCACACTCTGTTCACCAGGGAAACCACTCCCTGGATGCATAACAGCATTCCTGCCAGCAACTGGGTATAAAGAAGTATTACATATTAGATACTAAGTAACAATAGCTTAGAACTATGAAGTGCAACTTTAATATTAAGTAACCATGTCCACTAATCTCTGCCATGGCCTCACTTAAACTGAGTTGAAAAGGTAGTTTTAGGGGCACCTGGCTGCTTAGTTAAGTGTCCAATTCTTGATCTCAGCTCAGGCCATGATCTCACGGTTCATGGGTTTAGGCCCATGAATTGTCAGGCTCTACACTGACAGTGTGGAGCCTGCTTGGGATTCTCTCTCTCCCTCTCTCTCTCCCTCTCTCTCTCTCAAAATAAATAAACTTTAAAAAATAAAAATTAGGGGCGCCTGGGTGGCTCAGTTGGTTAAGTGTCCGACTTCGGCTCAGGTCATGACCTCATGGGTCATGGGTTCGAGCCCCACGTCGGGCTCTGTGCCGACAGCTCAGAGCCTGGAGCCTGCTTTGGATTCTGTGTCTCCCTCTCTCTGTCCCTCCTTCACTGATGCGCTTTCTCTCTCTCTCAAAATTAAACATTAAAAATAAATAATAATAATAAAATTTTTAAAAAGTGGTTTTATATTATGATCCATCAAGTATGGGGGGGTATCATTTCTCTCAATTTACCAGAGATAATGATGCCTGTTTACGGCTTTTAATTACATATGTTTAACACCTAAATGATTTTTTTTTCAGTCTAAACCTGTTCAAAGTACTTTCTAATAAATTTTTAGCTTAACCAAAGAACTGTCTCCATATTTCCAGACATCATCTTCATATCAATAATGCTTATGGGGTTGGGATGTGGGCGTGCGTGTGTGTGTGTGTGTGTGTGTGTGTGTGTGTGTGAGAGAGAGAGAGAGAGAGAGAGAGAGAGGAAGAGAGAACACCAGTGGGAGGGGAAAGGGAAAGGGGAGTAGGGGAGAGAGGGAAGGGAAAAAGAGAACTGAATCTCAAAACAATCACAAATTTGGTACCTCTAATTCCGTTTGTTTTTGGAAAAATTCCCAAACGAAATCCGAGAATATTAATACCTATCACATAGACAATGCATGGATCCTACAGGTTAATAGCAGCTAAGATATGCACACAAAGACACACATAACCATCCACATCTCCACCACGAGTACACAGGTGCCGTCCTGAGCGGAGGGGAGGCTCCCGAAAGTACGGAGGCTCCCAAAGGGGCTCGTGGTACACCTTCCAACTTCCATCTTCCCAAGCTGGTTACTAGGGGGCCAGGGCACGGACAGAGTCAAGTGCTGGTGGGCGCTACTTCAGGCCGAACCTAGCTGCCCTGGGAAACGCTGAGGCTTCTTTAGGGCTCAGCAGCGCCTCCGGGAGAGGAGGTTGTTGAGAATCAAAGAAAAAGGGCCTTGTGGTTTTGGAATGAAGTACTGGAAAAGAATTGTCTTTTCCCAAAAACTAACAAAGATATAAAATGGACATCTCCAGTGGGTACCTTAAAGGAATGTTTTCTTCATTCAAGTTTAACTCTTTGACTGAAAAGTTGGTGAACCTCTGCGTATACAGTCAGGTTGAGCCTCTTCATTTTAGTTCCTAAACGTGTGCTACTGACATGAAATTCAATGATTTCCTCAGCCATAAAAAAGAACGAAAAGGAAAAAAAAAAAATCCAGAACACAATTAAAAACGTGAAACGAAAAAACAAAAAATACAAATA